AACCAAATATAACAATTTATCTAAGCTCGAATTTCTAACCCTGAACCAGTGGTTCTGGGTCCATGTCCCCAGTGGAGTCGCCAGAGCTGTCACACCTCCTTTTACCGCACCCGCAAGAGTGCAAGGGAGTTTTTTCCAATTAAAGGACAACCGAAACGGGATTCGTTTGTCTATTTCAGAGTCGCCACTTGGGAGATTTAGGGTGTCCCAAGTCACCAATTTTAATCCCGAATCGAGGAAAAGAATGACTCCATATTACAGTCTGCGTACCAGAAATCCGGATAAGGAATTCTGTTAACCCGGGAGAAGGTGTTAGGCATTCCCGAGTTCCGTGGTTCTAGCACGGTCGCTCAACTGTTATATTCGGCTTGATTATCTGATTTTATACAAATGTGAACTTATGTGCCAATTTTATCTTTTAACCGCTTTTATCATTTAATGTTATTTTTATCAAGAATTGCAACATCGTGGAAACACACCTCGAACCACGTTACAATCAATGTACCTGTGGTTAGAGCTACGTTTTAACTCTGTTGAGATTGGGATTTGGGTCACATAAATGTGCACCCGAGTTTAGGAAGATAACATTATTAAAGACGTGCCTAAAGCAACTAGCGTATTGTTATTTTTAGGGAAGGCCGTAAAATTCGTTAAACGGCCTGTCCCGAATTCTAAGTATTTTAATATATACACTTAGAGGGCCCCGCAGCTTGTGTATTTTTGTTTGTCGAGGCTCGTCTCGTTTGTTATTTAAAAAGAATTTGCAACGTCATGGAAATGCATCTCGGATCACGTCACAATCAATGTACCCATGATTAGGGACACATATCGATTTCGTTGAGATTTGGATTTGGGTCACATAAATGTACACTCGAGTTTAAGGAGATAACATTATTAAATACGCGCTTAAAGAGACTATCGCGTTATTATTCTAGGAGGGCCATGAGATTTGCTAAACGACCCGTCCTGGAAGCTGAATGCTTCGATATATACATTTAACGAGGGCCCCGCAGCTTGTGCGTTTTTATTTGTCGAGGCTCATCTCGTCTTTATTTTAGAAGGATATCCTATAGCAACTACGTTTCTTGTCGCGTTTGTCTCTACTAATTGAAAGCAGAGATAGTCCTAGTTAATTATATGCTTGCAGGTTATTTATAGCAGGATTCGGAATGCTTTTACAAAGAGTAAACAAAGCCGCGACCCACGGGCCGGCGATCGGATCTCATGGGCCCAAACCCAGCTTATGCGGGATTGGCCAGGCCTGGGCCATTGATCTCACGGCCAAGGCCTGCTTAGCCCGTTTCGACTTGGGCTCAACCTTCGTGAGGTTGGGGAATGCAGACTTGTGCTATTTGTTCTAAAGGCGTGGTTCGACAATTATAATGAGGCAGTTTATCAAAAGGGAAATGAAATTAGCTAACATGGATAGTTCTATACTTGACATGCATTTAAGGACATGCTAATCACAAAACACAGCTAATTTCTAAAATGTAGCCCACTATACTGCCAGTCCTCTTGTCTGTCAACCTACACACAATATGATATTAAATTATCCTACATTTACATTCACTATATAAGAGGACAGACATGCAACAAAAGGAACACATGCAACCGGAAGAGGAGAGAACATTTGGAGAGTGGACAATCGAAGAAGTTCTCCCCTCAAATTCTCTAGATAATGAAGAAGAAGAGGACCAAAGTTTGAGGCATCAATTTGGGTGCACCAAAATATTATTAGGTTGAGCAAAGAGTTTGGGGCGGAATTCAAAGGGTGCGAAAAGGAAGCACTCCAATTTTTCATGAAAATTGATGGAAAGAGAAGGAATTCAATGGAGTCAACATCACTGATTATGGAGACTGTCACACCAAAGAAGAAAGGAAGCAAAGAATTGAAAAACTTAGACCTTGGAAGCAGTTTCAAATGCAATGGCACAAGAAGCAGGGGAGGGTATATTGTCATCGATAGTCAATGATGATTAAAATAGTATCTTGGAATGTTAGGGGACTTAACAGAGTTAGGAAGAGGGAGTTGATAAAAAATATGGTGAGTAGCTGAAAGGCAGAAGTCTATTGCTTTCAAGAAACCAAGTAAGAAGGGGAAATCAGGGAGATAGTTAGAAAATTATGGGCAAATAGATGGGTGAAATATGCTCAGTTGGAAGCAAGTGGAACTAGAGGGGGTATTCTCATCATGTGGGAAAGTAGGGCATGGGAAGGGGAAGTCAGTAGTGTCGGTAGATATTCCATCACATGTAAGTTCAGTGGCAAAGCACAAGAATTTGTTTGGCATTTAACCAGTATTTATGCTCCTAATGATAGAGTTGAAAGAAAAGAAGTATACTGGACCAACTTGCTGAAATTGAGGATATACAAGAACTGAGGAGCTTGAATGAGGAAGACACACACAAAAAAACCTCTCTACTGCTAGAATTTTAGGAAAATGCTCGGAAGGAGGAGATAGCATGGAGGCAAAGGTCCAGGGCCTTTTGAAAGAAGGCGACAAAAATACTAAGTTCTTTCATAGAACTGCAAATGCCCATAAAAGATATAACAACATTGACAAGCTACAAGTCAATGGGAAAACTGTGGAGAATCCTGAAGATATCAAGAGGAAGATAATTTCTTTCTACCAAAACTTATACATAGAAGCTGAGGAGTGGAGACCACAATGCAGCCTAAGGGACTGCCAAACTATCAGCTCAGAGGATAATCGGATGTTATTGAATCCTTTTGAACCTCAGGAAATCTGGGAGAATGTCAAAGCATGTGCAGGGGACAAAGCACCTGGTCCAGATGGGTATACTATGGCTTTCTACATTCAATGCTGGGAAGTGATCAAGTCAAGATGTGATAGCTGCAGTCTAGAATTTTCAAGTTACTGGGGTCTTTGAAAAAAGCTTCAATGCTACCTTGGTGGCTTTGATTCCTAAGAAAGTTGGAGCTAAAGAACTGAAAGATTTTAGACCTATCAGTCTGATAGGTAGTATCTACAAAATAATCTCAAAAATCCTAACAGAGAGAATCAAGAAAGTAATGGGCAAGCTGGTGGACAATCAACAGATGACCTTCATCAAAGGTAGGCAAAAATGGATGCTATTCTCATTGCAAATGAGAGTGTAAATGCTAGAATAAAGAGCAAAGAACTCGGTATCATGTGCAAGCTGGACATAGAAAAGGCATATGATCACCTTAACTGGAAGTTTTTGTTGGGAATACTTTTGAAGATGGGCTTTGATGAAAGATGGATTAGCCGGATCAAATTCTGCATTAATACTGTCAAATTTTCTATCTTAGTCAATGGTTCACCTGTTGGTTCCTTTTCCTCTCAGAGAGGCTTGAGACAGAGAGACGCAATTTCCCCTTTCCTATTTATTCTGGCTATGGAAGGTTTACACAATCTGTTTAAAACTGCCAAAGCAAATAATAGGATCAGGGGTTTCAGGGTAAACTCTAGAGAGTCAACCAAATTGGAAATCACCCATTTACAATATGCAGATGATACTTTGGTGTTTTGTGATGCTAGCAGAGAACAATTGCTCTTTCTGAGAATGGTATTCATTCTTTTTGAAGCTATATCTGGACTACACATTAACTGGAACAAGAGTTTCATTTATCCGGTTAATGAAGTAATGGAGATGCATAGTTTGGCTAGAATACTGGGAGGGAAGATAGGAGCCCTACCAATACACTGGGAATGCCACTTGGAGCAAAAAGCTAATCAAAAGGAATATGGAATGGAGTAATTGAGAATGTGAAAAGAAACTAGTTAGTTGGAAGAGTCAATACCTATCATTGGGAGGTAGACTAATCCTCATCAATAGTGTATTGGATGTCATGCCTACTTACATGATGTCTTTATTTCCAGTTCTGGCCAGTGTAGTTAAAAGAATAGATGCACTGAGAAGAAACTTTCTATGGCAAGGCACCAGTGAAAAGAGTAAGTTACATCTGGTCAGGTGGGAAGTACTTATGACCAGCAAGAAGGAAGGGGGAATGGGGATCAGAAATTTGAAAACTCAGAACCAAGCATTGATGATGAAGTGGTTATGGAGGTTTGCTACAACAGAGCAAATTTGTGGAAGAAGGTAATTCAGGCAAGGTATGGGATGGAAGGTAGTTGGACAACAAAAACAGTATGTACTCCTTATGGGGTAAGTCTATGGAGGTCTATCAGAAACATATGGCCAATGTTCAGAAACAACACCAGTCTCAGAGTTGGAAATGGAATGATAACATCCTTCTGGGAAGATAAATGGCTTGGACAAAGAACTTTAAAGCAATTATTCCCGAACATCTACAATCTGAATCAACAACAAAGAGCTTCTGTTGGAGAACTTTGGACAGGTCAAGGATGGAACCTTACGTATAGAAGATTTCTATATGACTGGGAAATAGAGAGGCTGACAGTTTTCTATAATACTCTAGAACAGTTTACAGGGACCAACAACAATGAAGATAGGTTGTTCTGGCAAGGGGGAAAGAAGGAATTTTCTCTGTTAGATCAACTTCAAGGAGTACAACCATTCTAATAATCAGATTGGTTGTTGGCCTTGAAAAATGATTTGGAAAGTTAAAATAACTTACAAAGTGGCATGTTTTGTTTGACTTCTAGCAAGAGAAGCTGTCCTAATCCAAGATAATCTCACTAAGAGAGGATATCAGTTGGGGTCCAGATGTTACTTATGTAAAGCTCGGGAGGAGACAGTCAACCATCTTTTTTTGCACTGCAGTGTCACAGATCAAATTTGGAAGATATTCATCAACCTGAGGAGAATTCAATGGGTTATGCCAAGGAGAATCAGGGAAGTTCTAACAAGTTGGAAAAGAGATGGAATGCAGTCTGCCCAGAAGGAGAGATGGAAGATTGTCCTTGCATGTATATGGTCGACAATTTGGAAAGAAAGGAATCTAATATGTTTTGAAGATACACATAGTACAATACAAAAGTTGAAAATGAGCTGCCTTACGCTCTTGTGTGAACAGGAGTGCTTAGAAGAGAGTGAATGTATTTTTGATGTTTTAGACCTCTTATGAGCTTTACAGAGACTTAGTTTGTCTCTCTTTGTACTCCCTTTTGTAATTATGGATGGCTACACTGAATTAGTGTAGTCATGTTTATATTTAATACAAAAATGTTACCAATTTCCAAAAAAAAAGTCAATGTGTCTAACTTTGATGCTAAACAGTCACATGACTCACATCAATTGCAAGATAGCAGCACTTATAATGCAAACACTTATCAGCAAAAGAAGCTTAGCCATGGTGGTAGGCCATTCTACCATCGCTCTGACATGGTATTAGGAACTTAATCTGCTTTTAGTAGGATTTAGGTTGACCATTTTACCAAAATTTAGGTCAGCCTTGATTTCAAAAGCCTAATCTAAATTGAGTTTATCCAAGTAGTACTTGACATGCAAAAGACGTTCTAGATTGGGGTTGTGCTAGATTCACTTTAGAAATATCTAATATGTTATTCTTTTTAGTTCTATACATATCTAATATGTTAATACATGAATCTTGCAAGCTATGTATTGACTTGAAAAACAGAACTAATCTAGATCAATGAATTTTCCAAAACTTAAAATTACATTTAAAAGGACCTCAGCCGAATTTTGTTATACGAATCTGCTTTACGACAAAATCATTTCCAAGTACTTGAGAGGAAATGAAGTTGGTGAAATGTGAAGTATGAGGTTAGGGCATTGGGTGGTGTTTTGTGATAATTCTGATAGCAAAGAGAAAAATAATGCTTACATATTGGTAAAACAAGTTATATGGAGTAGTAGTGGAAAGAGTTATAATGGAAAATAAACTACAGCCTCCAATGATGTAAGTCATTTAATTCATTTGGTGTAAATTAATAGGTTCAGGTGACCAAATAGCAATGATTTCATCAAGAAAAATATTTCACTTAGACCTAAACAAGTAAGTTGTGTTCTAATCAAAGTTAGATCAGTTCTGGTCCTTCAGGATTTCAGATCTCAAAGAGGATCATATCAAATATACAATTTCGGAGTCCTTAAAAGAACCCAGCCACCCCCCCCACACACACACACACACCCAAAAAAAAACGCTTGCGAATCCCCAAAATTTAGGGAAACCAAAAGAATTAGATGAACTTACAGGTAGACCGCATCTGCTTAAGGCAGTGGCCCTCATCAAGATCGCCCATCTACTCAAGGCAGCAGCATTTTGCTCCCCAATAGAATTCTTCATGGTAGTTTTGGCTGCTAACATTAAGCAAAAGTCACCAACGCTTGGATCTAAGAAGGCAGGTTGACGGGATGAGAATCTTGACTTATCGTTCAAGGAACCCGTTGGGAAAGCAAGCATTCTAAGAAAAGCATGTGAGGGTTTTCCTAATATCCACTGCAAATGAAGAACTTTAAATGAGTATATAAACAAGGGAACAAGATGCAACCAACACAATCCCTTAAGGAAAAAAAAAGCATCACTCTCTATAAAATCTAAACTTCTAGCTGAATACCTCCAGTACGCTTGCAAGCCAGTAGTCACCTTTGGCAAGAGCAGATGGGAGAAGCAATTTCGAAATAAGGTAATGCTCTAGCGTTCCACCATAACCTTCAACAAGTCGGCAAATTACAAGCGCAAGCTGCTCATCCCCAAGATTCTTCACACAAACAGTGACAGCAGATGTGGTATCTCCTCCAAGCAAAAAGAAAGCAATTGCAAGCTCCAACTGGTGTTTTCCCAGTAATACGTATGCATTCTTTAAAGCAGCTGCCTTATTTTTATCTTCCTAAACAAAGGGAATGGGTGAAACTTCTAAGCAACTAAACGCTGAGTAACGATGCTCAATAAGAAAATACAGAAGACTAAAACTTGGATTACAAACAAATTAACAAAGAAGAGTAACAGTTTCACATCAAGACCTCAACATTTTAAAACAGAGGTAATGTGCAGATCTTGTAAAAAACGAACCACAAGAAGAATATGTGAGAAGGCAAGTTAATAGTAATGAAATCTTTTGCTTATTTAACCAAAAAAAAAAAGAGATGTAAATTTAAGAGAAGGTACGAGAAATATAAAAGTAAAGTTTATGCACTTAATTTAACACGCTGTCAGATTTGCTTTAACATTTTCATAAGAATTATCCCAAATGTAGGGCATGGAAAGACAGTACACAAGATCATTTGATCACAACAATACGCTTTACAACATGTTCCTACTTTCCCAATTTAGATACTGGAAAAGAAAATTTAAGAAACAATTCAAGATAAATGGGTCAAAACTCACTCATAAATAATTGGTCAAAACTCGGTAACATTTCTTTTAAAATATTTGTATCAGGCATACAAATAAAGTAGCAGACGTTTAAAAATTACCTGAAAATTTCGTGAAAGAAATGCCACCAGAGGTTTGTCTTTCTCATCTTTGCTAATCTTGAAAAGGCCCGCTAAAACTTGAAGCCTATTCAATGCAATATACAGAAGTGCACATGCCTTGGGATCTCTTTTCTTCAAATATTGCTGCCTTGCCAGCTTTTCCATCTGCAGAAAACCCACCTAAGTCAGAGTTGCAATGCCAAATACAGAGGAAAATGAAAGCTAAGGATATAAGACATTGGTTCTTCCTGTTTCTTTCACCCCTTTCAGAGGAAAGAACAAGAGGAGTAGCTGTAGATTCAGTTGGGAGATGTTGAATTGTTTACAGAATATACAACTACACAGTACCTCCCAAAAAATAACCAAATGATACAGCTGATTTGTTTTATATCGTAAATCCTACCCCCCAAATCCCCCTCCAGGAGTTAACAGTTTCACTTTCCCACTTTGCTCCAGTGGTGGAAAACTCACTTTCCCAAAACCTCACTTGCCATGCTACAACCGAATTCACAATCTTAATGAAAAAAAGTACCTTCACTCGCAGTTGTGCCACACTTGTATACCATAATCCAACACCCATATCGCGCATTTCTTGCCAAGATGGTTCCTTAGATAAAAGAGAATCAAACAAATTCTCTTGGCAATCAGAGTGGAAAGCCCATCCAATCAGCCCCGAGTACACAACCAGCTCACCTTCTGATGGCAGTCTGCCAAATCGTTGAACAAAATACAGCTGCTGAAACCTCACTGAAACCCAAAACCTAGGAAGAAAAGACAAGTAGCATCAATGAATGATAATTTAATTAGAAGCAACTACAGCTGAATAATACCCACAAAAATTCTGAGCCTTGTGTGTGTGTGTGTGTGTGGGGGGGGGATGGGGATTTTTATCCATTTATGTCACCATTTACAGTTTTTGCCAACTCTACTCTAATCCCAAGCATAGGGAAGAGTGATGCAATATGAAACTTTTAGTATCTATTTCTTTATGGCGGTGGTGTACGGACCAGCTTGTGCACACCTCGACTATTCTGCCTGCTACCTCCCTCTAGCACATGTACTAGATAACTCTCCCACCAAGGCTTAGGCTGGTGGGAAGAAATCACACCTAGTGTTTTTTGTCTCTGCTGAGATTCGGATGTAAGACCTTACGATTCTCCACCCACTTCAAAACTTAGTGTCTATATCTAAAGCAAAATTGGAATATGTTTTTCTTGTCTGCCAAAAACTACACTTCTGTGGTTGATTATCACTATACACAAAAATTGACAGAACACAGAAGCTCAAGAACTTAACATAAAGGTTGATCATAAAAAGAATGTTTGAGCCTTTACAAACTTGGCAATTGGCATGAAGATATGTTCACACGCATGGAAGATAATTTATTCTAATCTTCT